CCAAGGCTCTTGTTGTGGCCGTGCCGGCCCCTCGCGGCCACGTGCACCTGCCATGGGCGCAACGGGTGAGGGAGCAGGGAGGGCGTCGGGTTTCTCATAACGCACAGGGTAAACACCGCCCCGAAAATAATCCGGCTGCTGTTTGGATCCCTTGGCTTCCTTAGAGTTCTCTTTGCACGTGGTTTGTTTGCTGGGCCTCTCCTTTAAGTGCTTTTCTTATCGAGGTTTAGATACACAGCTGGGTTTTCCTTCCAGCTCGTGTAAGGTGAGAACATGTAATGCTCCATGCCTGAGTTTCCTTCCTACGCACGCAGGTAACGTTGTGGACAGCCAGTCCCCCAGGCTCTTGGCAAATCAGCTAAGATGGGACCTGACTGCCGAGCAGATAGAGACGATGGCTGCAGAGCTCACCGAGAGGACCAAGCTGGTGTATGACCGGGTGGGCTCCCAGGAACAGGGAGAAGTGTCCTACGAAAACACCCTCAAGGCACTGGCTGATGTGGAGGTGGAATATACAGGTAGGTAGACAAAAACAGAGTACTTGCCTTCTGGAAGTGTGCACTTTGTGAAGAAATTTTTGTGTCTGTGCTCTGCGCTGTCATCTTTCTTTCTTTGCTTGACTCCCTCAGCCTCAGTGCTGTGATGTTTTTCGAGTTAATGTTAACGCAGCTAGATATAACCTCAAAGAAAGGAGTAGATTTGAAACAGGACTGTAAGGAGAGCATGACAGGACTGTAGCAGTGGTACTGCTTTGGCAATGGGGTAGGGTCTGGAAAGAGTTACGAGATTTGAAGATTGTCTCACATCTTTATATGTCAGCATGCATTTAGCACAAGTAAATTGTACATTGGCAGAAATAGTTTGGATGACCCAGAAATCTTCAGCTCTTTCTGTCCAGAGATACATTGACCCATGTATCTTCTCTGTTTAAACAGAATACCAGTTTTAGAGATTATGTGTGAAGTAACACAGTGTGATGGCATTACGTTGGCAAATAAATACATCTCAGGTTAATTATTTACAGCACTAGAGTGCCAAAGTCTTACAACCTTCCTCCTGCCTCATGACATCTGTTGGCTCTTTTGACCATCTATGTTGCAAGATGATTGCGTCTGTTTAGAGTAGAAGCAAGTTTGTGAGCCTCCTTTTTCCTTTATGTGCTTTATTTTTCCTTAAAAAGGATGGAGGGGAAGAAAAAAAGAAAAAGAAAATCCCTTGCTAAGCAGGGGTAGTGTTAACTTCAGCAGAATAGTCAGCACTTTCTGTGGGCAACAGAGAGCTGCTGTCTGCTCACCTTCTGCTGGGTGGAGAATCCTC